ATTATTAATTAGTTTGCTTAATAACAGTGTCTTTAAAGTGTACTTTATATTAATTTAATTTAGCTACGTAGGTATATGTGAAGTTGCTTTGAAATCGTTTCCGTATCCGTAATCCGACTAATAACAGTCCTAAAAAGATATTAGAATTTTGACGCTTTTGCTTGTATATTAAGGTCCTTTTTCAAGTAAAATAATCTCGTCGACTTATTTAGCGCATGTCAACTGCGTTCGCAAGGAACGTGTGCTGCCACCTGTCGTGAGCTAACAAAGAAGCAATTATTTGATGTTGCCGTTAGTAAAAATTTACAAATTTACAGTAGTTTTCTGGAAAATATTGTTAGGTGGTAAAAAAAGTTAGTAAAACCGTTTATTTTAACCGCCCAGTCACCGGTTGGTCGATGTAACTTAAAGTTTTAGTAATTTTATTTCTAATATCGTTAAATGAGCATTAATGTTCTTCTTTCTACAACGCCAACGCCTTGCCCCTTTCTTTATTTTCGTCTTTCTGTTTTTTTGGAATACCCTTATTAAATTGTGTTTTGTATCATGTTACTTTGTCACTTTTTGTTTTACATGCACTAAAACTAATTAAGACTTAAGCATTCCCAACTGGACACGACTGATAATAAATAGATACCAAAAAAGTCACCATTATAAAAAATAAGGAATAACAGCCAGGGCCGGATTAACCATCTCGGGGCCCCTAGGCACAGCTCGTTTCGGGCCCCCCCACAAAACCGCAATTTGGAATTTTTTACTGTCTATATTACGAAATAGAATGAAGGTACCATCATCATCCACAACAGACTTCAGTCATCACATTGCAATGGTATATACAGGGTGTCCCAAAAACAATGGATAACCCTGTAACCATCGATAGGCCTCGCCATGGTCGCCCTAACGTCCAATTTTGACCCCAGTAAAAATATCACCGTTTTCAAGATTTTTAAGTTTTTGTGCATTTTTAGAAAATTGCCACCTGCGATTACTTTTTCTCATGCCATTTCTACAAATGAGGATACTTTTCAATCTAGTTTTGTTCCTTATCACAAGGGATAGTTGGGCTATCATAAGAAAATATTAAAGTTCAACAAAATAGTTTAAAAGTATGAAAATTTTATGAAATTGCAGAGAAGAAGGAAAAATTAATTCATTGTCTTGCACTTTTGATCAGCCATCGTGTAAAAAAAATGTAGGAAGACCATCGTGCCCATTACTTTAGAAACTTCCTTGGTTAATTGAGATTCTAAAAAGGTATCACAAGCCTATGTATTCTGTATTATTTTTATCTTATGGCTACTTGAATAGCAACTAGTATGAAAACTGCAAAAATGAGTTTTTCTCGTAATAGTTAAACTAGGACTGCATAGTGGCATTAAATACAAATGGATAATTTTTAGCGTAGGAATTTTAATAAAACAACATTTTATCATGATCATCATCATCATTTCAGCCATAGGACGTCCACTGCTGAACATAGGCCTGTACCCCAATGTTTTTCATAAGGATCGCTTGGTAGCGGCCAGCATCCAGCACCTTCCTGCGTACCTTTATGAGGTCGTCGGTTCACTTTGTAGGTGAACGTCCTACGATGCGCTTTCCGGTACGTAGCCTCCACTTTAACCCTGCTGCCTCAGTTCTGCAAACTACTGTGCCCTGCCCATTGCCATTTCAGCTTGCTGATCCGTCGAGCTATGTCAGCGACTTTAGTTCGTTAACGGATCTCCTAATTTCTGATACGATTTCGTAAAAAAAACCGAGCATAGCCCTTTCCATAGCACGTTGTCCAAAAAATTCACGTTTCCGAGCCGTGTATTATCACGGGTATCTGTCTATAGGCACATTTATAAGGTTTAAAACAAAAATTAAATAATCACAAAAACGCAGAACGGACGGCCAATGGGGCAACAGGGTTGAAGTGGAGGCTACGTAACGGAAAGCGCATCGTAGGACGTCCACCTACAAAGTGGACCGACGATCTCATAAAGGTAAGCAGGAAGGTGCTGGATGCAGGCCGCTACCAAGCGGTCATTATGAAAATCATCGGGGTACAGGCCTATGTTCACCAGTGGACGTCCTATGGCTGAAATGATGATGATGATGATGATAAAATGTTGCTTTATTAAAATTCCTACGCTGAAAATTATCCATTTGTATTTAATTCCACTATGCAGTCCTAGTTTAACTATTACGAGAAAAACTCATTTTTGCAGTTTTCATACTAGTTGCTATTCAAGTAGCCATAAGATAAAAATAATACAGAATACATAGGCTTGTGATACCTTTTTAGAATCTCAATTAACCAAGCAAGTTTTTAAGGTAATGGGCATGATGGTCTTCCTACATTTTTTTTACACGATGGCTGATCAAAAGTGCAAGACAATGAATTAATTTTTCCTTCTTCTCTGCAATTTCATAAAATTTTCATACTTTTAAACTAGTTTGTTGAACTTTAATATTTTCTTTTGATAGCCCAACTATCCCTTGTAATAAGGAAAAAAACTAGATTAAAAAGTATCCTCATTTGTAGAAATGGCATGAGAAAAAGTAATCGCAGGTGGCAATTTTCTAAAAATGCACAAAAACTTAAAAATCTTGAAAACGGTGATATTTTTACTGGGGTCAAAATTAGACGTTAGGGAGACCATGGCGAGGCCTATCGATGGTTACAGGGTTATCCATTGTTTTTGGGACACCCTGTATATACGCCTTCCTTCAAGTGAAAAGAAGACTTTCGCCACTATCTAGTACCTACAGTAAGAAGTAACCGAGTCATTTAAAAAATTAAACAGAATAGGAAAATCTTGCATTTTTTTATAAAACTAACAAACATTAAAAAATAAAAACATAAAGTCATGTAAACCAAAGCAATAATGCCAACTAGGCCAGTAGAATAGGACATGAAAATCAATCAAATCGGAAATAATTCCTAAGGTTTTCTTGTTTTAACTAGCTTTTGCCCGCGGCTTCACCCGCGTTATATTTCGTTTGTCACAGATCGTCATAAATTATAGCCTATATGTTATTCTGGGTTATAAACAATAATACTGTAAAGTTTCATAAAAATCCGTTCAGTAGTTTTTGCGTGGAAGTATAACAAACATCCAGACATCCAAACTTTTGCATTTATAATATTAGTAGAATGGTTTCATTGGTTGTTCTTTAAGACTATCGTAGGTTTTCGACTTCGACGGAGTTGTACTCAAGTGGTGTAGGCCCCCGAAAGGGGCATTTTTGCGGTTTTACGGTTATACCGTGTAATGGACTTGCAGTGTCGAAAACTGAGGCTTTGGAGCTTGCGGGTGACGAGCCATTGGACGTAGAGAGGGTTATTAATTATACGTATATTTTCTACTTTGTCGAAGACAGGCACGAGAACGGTTTGTCCAAAATAAATGTATTTGGTCTTATTCAATGCAGGATTGAATGCCCTTCAATCATCATGAAGATCAGTTTTCGATACAGTAAGTCCTTTACGCGGTATAACAGTAAAACCGCAAAAATGGCCCTTTCGAGGGGCCCCACCACTTAAGCACACTCCGCTGAAGTCGAAAACCTAGGATAGTAGTAATGGGCAACAAATGAAGCCATTAAAACAATAAAATCTTTTGTAGGAATTATTTCCGATTTAAAATCTAATTCTATGGCCTAAACGTTACGAAAATGAATTAACTTCCACAATATCGAAATATGACGATTGAATGTGCAAACCAAAATAAGGCGAAGTTTTGAGGTGGTTTGAGTTTTGTTGCATAAAAATAATCTTTAACATATGTTTTTTTTTTAATCGGGAGTGCTGGGCCCCTGGTCATAGTGGGCCCCTAGGCACTGGCCTAAAGTGCCTTATGGATAATACGGCACTGATAACAGCTAGACAAAGGCCTCCCCTTTACAGTTTATGAATGATATATACAGGAACCCTAAAAATAATGGTATTTACGTAAAATACGTCACTTCTAAATTAATGTAGGTGGCTAGTGTTAAACGCGTTATGTACCTATAGGAACCAGTATAGGAACGTGCTATGTGGCTATGACGCATGAATTTAAGTTACTGAAATATGTAGGTAATTTATTTTATCAATTAACATAAACCAAGATAATAATATTAAGTGATATGTGAAAAAGGTTTAAGTATTTGTTTATTTAAATAAGATAACTTAGCTAAGGAAGAGTTGCTTCCTCTGACACAGGCACTCCGTTGCTTAATAGAGCAAGTCAACACTTATTAATGTAAAGTCGACAAAAGGTAAGTACTGTGTAAATGTTACGGTAAATATGATAAATTGAAAATTATTAATAATCGCAAGTTATTGTGAATAATTCCCGACAGTCGAGGTAAAAGTAATAAATTAATTACATTTATCAGTGATTTTTAATAATGTAACCTTAATACTAACAAATATCATAAAAGATAATACCGGCTCGTGTACAGCGCTTGTGTACAGCCACACATTTTGAACGTTTTGATATCATAATACATATTAATATAATTTGGAATAATAAGTTTGGACTGTTTCTTGCGTAACATTACTTTTCGATAATGCCCATAAATATTGTTTTTAGTGAAAAATAGGTTAAGGTGCGGTGCGGTGTGAATTAATTATTCATAATAACCGGCGATTATTCACATAATTATTCATAATTTATCACTTTTACCGTAACTTAAACATTTTTATTTAGGAAAATAATATTTGTATTGAAAAGAGTAAGTAGGTACAGCAAATTATTGAGCTATCTATCTAGAAAAATGTAGTGATAGGTACCTAGAAAAGTAATCAATTAGAAAAAATGGTGTCAGTTATTTTATTAATTGGCGCCCTTTAAAAAAGTGTTTAAAGGGGAAATGAATTAATTAAGGCCTTCTATATTAAGGAAACGCTTGTTCTAATAAAAATCTTATAAGATCATTTTTCAAAAAGACTTGCGGAAGGCAATGGTAGTTTTTATTTTGTAATAGTAGTTTTCAGTACGAAGTTGGCAACATCGTCATAATTGGCCGCCACCCGTGAGCAAATCGTTCGCTCGATCTCGCTCTGTCGATCGAGTCCGGTAGTGGAAGCCATTTTATTCTTGTGAATGTGACAAAGTATTTTTGGGGATTTTTGTATCTAAACTAAACGTGTCAATGTGTGCCAATAACGAACGGCGATTGTGACGTGTGATAGTGCTCTCAAAACTGAGAATGTACGTGTTTCAAATTGGTTTGTGTTGACCTGCCCCGTTTCTTACGCGGTCGCACCAGGCAGGCATCGATTAGTGCAACAAGGCGGCCTCTAATAACGGCAAATCGAGGCTCCGGACTATTTTGTGGTGTGCGCCATGGGCAATAATGCTGCCACCGCCAACAAGAAGGTGGACGCCGCCGAAAGCGTCAAAGAATTCCTCGACCAGGCCAAAGAGGATTTCGAGGAGAAATGGAAGAAGAATCCTACCAACACCGCCGGATTGAACGACTTCGAGCGGATAAAAACTCTCGGCACGGGGTCCTTCGGCCGAGTTATGATAGTCCAACATAAACCGACGAAAGAATATTATGCTATGAAAATATTAGATAAGCAAAAAGTCGTAAAACTGAAGCAGGTTGAGCACACACTAAACGAAAAACGTATATTACAAGCTATCAACTTTCCTTTTTTGGTGAGCCTCAAATTTCATTTCAAGGACAACTCGAACCTGTACATGGTTCTGGAGTATGTGCCAGGTGGTGAGATGTTTTCGCATTTACGTAAAGTGGGTCGCTTTTCAGAGCCCCACTCGCGTTTTTACGCGGCGCAGATAGTGCTCGCCTTCGAATATCTACACTACCTTGACCTCATCTATCGAGATCTCAAACCGGAGAACTTGCTTATCGACTCACAGGGCTACCTCAAAGTGACCGATTTCGGCTTCGCCAAGCGAGTCAAAGGTCGTACGTGGACGCTATGCGGAACGCCAGAATACCTAGCGCCCGAAATTATTCTTTCTAAAGGGTACAACAAAGCCGTGGACTGGTGGGCGCTGGGCGTGCTCGTCTACGAGATGGCAGCCGGCTACCCGCCGTTCTTCGCTGACCAACCGATCCAAATTTACGAAAAAATCGTCTCTGGCAAGGTCCGATTCCCCTCGCACTTTGGGTCGGACCTGAAGGACCTCCTACGCAATCTACTGCAGGTAGATTTGACCAAGCGTTATGGCAACCTGAAAGCTGGCGTGAATGACATCAAAGGTCACAAGTGGTTCGCCAGTACCGATTGGATCGCCGTCTTCCAGAAAAAGATCGAGGCGCCCTTCATCCCTCGCTGCAAGGGCCCCGGAGACACGAGCAACTTCGACGACTACGAGGAGGAAGCATTGCGTATCTCATCGACTGAGAAGTGTGCAAAGGAGTTCGCCGAGTTCTGAGCGAGTAGCTGGTGCCTGCGAGCGGACACTACCGTGAGTAGGAGTTTTGTATTAGTGAATCTTCCGTGACATTGTGGTCGTGGAATGGTGACATGTGCAACTGTTTGCCGGCAGCTCTGGGTGAACATAGACGCTGAAGCGCACCCCGGCTGGCACCTCAGATGAAACAAGTTCAGAGTGTAAGCGAGATGGTAGTAGATCCGGTTTCCAATGTTTTGGTGGCGTTCATTTGCTTTGTGCCCTTTCAAGTTGTATATTAGAGCAGAGAGGGAGTGGAAAATTTCTCATTTTGGTGATATTCCCCGATATGTTTTTCTGACATCCAAACTTACACAATACATTGCACTCAGACATTATTATTGTATTTTAGTTTCAATATTTTGTAGATTGCTGTTGATAGTATTGAAATGTGGTTAGCTTATATCATATTTTATATAATTATTTTTACATATTAAATCAATTTATAGCTTTGTATTAATTATCAAAATTTTCCACATTGCTTTTAAGGCGAATCTTCACAATGAAATATTTTTATGAATTTTATTCTAAGTACATCACTAAACCATCAATTTAGAGCTATTTTGATCACTTATTTAAGTTAGAAAATCAATTTCCTAAAATCATATTGATGGATTGTTATAATAGGTTTTAATTAATAGACATTTTGTTATTGGTTTTATTTATAGTTGTATTGTTGTATCAGTTGATATTTTATGTAAGGGACTGTAACTACATCAACATATTGAAGAGATTAATTTATTGTAATATGTATAGTGTAGTTGTGTTCATTTGTGCAATTTGACTTATGTGTTTGTGATCTGATGTGAGCATTCATTTCTATTATGTGTAATTTGTATTAGTTCCTTATTTTGTAGGTTTAAGAGTATTTTTAATTGTGAAATCTGAAAATCATGCATCCACAGCCAAAACTGTAGCAACCATAAGGTACCTGCAACTTATTGTTAGCATCAGTTGTCATAAAAGCAATAAATTCTTAAAGTAAACATATTCCGACTATAACTAAGGCAGTTTACCATTATTATTACTGTGTATAAAGTCACCTACAAATAAATCCAATATTAAAGTCCAGCACAAACTAAGTCATGAGAGAGTTTTTATATTTAAAATGTGTTTTAGATGTAGTAGGAATATGTTGAATTTTCCTTGTAGTAAATCTCGTAAAGTGCCGCGAAGGCGATATCTTATTTGAGACTGATGTTACCAATAAGTGTGTGAGTAAATGAATGGAGAATGCAACTTTACACACACCAGTCCCACCTGTGGAGTGAGTGGTACAGAGATGACACTGGCAATGTTTAATAAAGTTTGTTAGCTATTAGATGTAGGACTTGAATCCAGGCTGTACAAATAAATATCTAGTTATTTGTAGTGCATTTTACATTGTGAAAACATCGTGCGCGTCTGTGGTAATAGTCAGTAGGTTGATAATGTCCTGGAAAGGTTACTTAATGCACATTTACACTCCCTATTAAAATTAATGAGTAACATTGACGAAATATTTTCATGATTTTATTTTTGACTAATCAAGCTAAAGTCATTGTGGACGAAATCATTAATTAAAATTAAATTATCATATCAAATTATACACATAAACATTTTTCTAATTATTGTCAGTGTGTTTTTATTGTAATTTGTAAATCAATTACTTTCTCTGATCCTAACCAGACAAATAATGAAACTTTATTTTGGTGTTATTATTAAATAATGACTTTGGATTGGCTTTATTAAATCCAAGTAATATTATGTGATAAACAAGGTTTATATCACTTGAGGTTTTCATTATTTTGAAAGTGTGCTATTTTTCTGGTTAGGCTTAAGCCTGTTTTGTATATTGACATCTATTTACTATAAGTTACCAGTGTTAAATGCTACAGAATCTTCAATCATGAAGCACTAATCTAACATAAAACAATGTCTTATGTGGTGAATTCTGGATTGTAGATGATTTTCTTTTATTGAGGAATCAGTGATGAATTGTGAATAATCTTGTTATATTTTATTTGGTGCCATAATTAATTTCTTGGGGGTGGTCTTGTCATTGTAAATACTTAGAATATAACTATGATTTGTTTGCTTAGTTCTATTAGTAAAATCTGTTGATATTACCACATAATCCAACAGAATCAGTTGTCACACTTTTCAGTATTAAATTAATTCTTTGCACCAATTTAGTGCGTCCTAAGATGGATAATGAAATCATATATCGTTCAATATAGCTAGTCACTTAACATATTTCTTTTCATATACGACACACGCAATGTGGTAATAGCTTGGTGTCTAAGGCTTTAGATTTTAGTAGAATATCAATATAAATCGTCTGCTCATTTCATTTTTGCACAGTATCACAAAATTACCCAGTCCAAACTTAATTTCATTCATTGCAATTACAACTACAACTAGAATTTTCGCTCAAAATCCTTCTTAATCTAACCTATCAGAGTCCAGAAATTGTGATAAGCTTGAATCTGTTCTTTCGTGTAGATTTATACTCGTGTGTCGTTTCAAAACTGCCTTAAACACTTCAGTGCACTTATAAAGTCTGCTTCTTATCGTATTCAGGTGTACGATTTTCGGTTGATCGGTTGTAAAAAAGTTGCATTAATGAAATGAGCTGACTTAGATCGTCTAGGTATTCTTAGGTTCTTTTTCCCTTTCATCTGGTGCTTATATTGCAACAGCTGCTGTATTTTTTTTCTGTAATAATTGTAGTATCGCGATTAACGGCATTATGAACTAGCCCATTCTCAGATCACTTTCAACCCATTGTGTGGTGTGGAAATTGTTCAAACCGTTTTTCAGTGAGAAATCGAAATCTATTGTTTAGTACACTTCCAATGATTGCTTATTTTGTTAGAAAAGAAAGCGACATTCACCATTTGGACATTGTTTGATACCTTATTGCTGCATATTTTAAGCGTTTCGACATCGCGTTTTTCATGTGCTATGCGACGGTTTTTAGTCGTCTCAATTTATAACAATTATTTTTAAAATCGTAAGGATAATAAGAAATTTCTGATATGTACCCTTCGTTACTATTATCATTGTATATAACTCTAGAGTGATTGTGTCCCCGGTAATTAGGAGATTCGATATCAGCTTGATATCCGCAGATACCTTCATTCCAGTAGCTTCACTACTTGCTCATCAACACAATTACGTTCTAATGTGAACATTTTAAGGCCATTTTGGATATTATAAACATTAGTGTGACAGTATGTGTATTTGCGAACAGTTGTCTTTTTATATCTGTGCGTATTAATATTAAAATGTTCACGTTTAGATCTATTATATCGAGTGCCTATAGCATTGAAGTTCAAGTGTAAAAAGTCAGTTAATTTCAGTAATTATTTGTCACCATGTATTGATCTTCCATAAAATTACGATGAAATTAAAAATATCGATGTAACAGTAAAATATTTGTTTAATTTTTTATCAATTAGTTTTATATTGTGTCGTAGCACCTCTATTCGTAGTTATCGTATTGATAACCAAATCGAGCATTTTAAAAACATTGATAAGTGATAACATTCAGCTATCGAATAAAATACTACTGTATTTTAAGAAGAGACAAATGATCGTTGCTTTCAGTTTTCATTTAATATTTTATTCTGCAGTAATTGATTGCAGACGTAATGTATGTTCAATGCGTGAATTCTCTTTATCGTGAGTTATAGTCTGTATCACGTTTGGTGTAGCACGAAGCCGGCACGTGTAGTGCTGGGAGTTTAATACGTGGCTTCCTAATAAAGCGAAATACACCGGCTGACTGCCGTCTGCTATTGCCAACGCACTGCCAGATAAAAATGAATTGTTTTAACACGTGAACATGACTGAATTTGGATTGGGAATTTGAAACATTCTTTCGATGTTCGTTTAACACTAGAAAGGCCGCCGTCCCATTTTTGTCCCACTCGCGAGTTTGATCAGCTCTAACTTTTTTATTTTTCAACGAAAGTCCATGAAACTTTTTGAATTTTTCTGATTTATTGACATTTATCATTTTTTAATGTTTTTGATAATATAACATTAATAGATTTTTTTTTAAAATCGGTTTTACCTAGAAGCGCCACTGGGTCAATTTTGTCCCACCCTGATATTTGCTACAATAATTCGATGAAGAGTCCTTTTTTCGAGGAGATACGAAAGTAGAGAGGTGAGGAGAGTTTAGGTGACTCGTGACAATGCAGAAATGTAAATATATTGTACTAGTTTTTGCCTGTGACTTCACCCGTGAGAAATTAAGTTTATCATAGAAAGACCTAATTTCTTGACACTTATCGTTGCTTTTTGACCAAATAACTGAATATTATTCTAAATTATAGCCTATATTATGTTATTCTAAAGTATTAACAATAAAATTGCAAAGTTTTATTAAGATCGGCTTAGTATTTTTTGCGTAAAAGAGTGAAAAAACATCCATCGATCTAACTATGAATCCATGCTCACTTAGTTTAAGTTCCAGGCATATATCCACCTATTCATCCATCCTATCCATTCATCAGTCCATCCATCCTTCAATTCATCAATATTTATTAACTTTTACATTTATAATATTAGTAGGAAGATGGCCTCTAAACATAAGCCAGTTCATACATTGTATGATTTGATACATTTTTAAAATGTGTGACTTATAAAATTTTGAAGATTAAACGTACATACTTTTCATTGTAATTGGTCAAAAACTTCATTGTTTGTGTACAGATAACAGAAAAATAACCATACCTATAGAAATTCCTAAACACATAGTACACCAGATAGACAAAAAACCATACAAAAAAACTTTGTGCAAAATGTGCACTATTATTTTTAAGATATTTATTTTTTCTTTAAAAATAATAATGACTAGTTAAAGTAGTAATTTCATGATTTTAATACAGTATACCACCACGTAATATGTGACTATTTTTAAATGAAACCAAAAATATCTAAATTTTAATAATTCCAAATTAAAATTGAATACATTTATATTTTTAAAGAAATAAGTACATATTGTTTTAACCACATAGATAAACCTTTTTTTAAGGATACTACAAATAGTTTTAACCATAATATTCATGCCTGAAACTAAAAAATGTTACAAAATACATGCTGGGACAAAATTGACCCAGCGGCGCTTTTAGGGGGGTCGTAATCTTCGGCACTTCTAGTGTTAAAGGTGTGGCTGTTATTGAGAAATCATCAAAATATGTATAAGAGTACACTTTGCTACTAAAATGTTGTGTCAATTGAAAACGTGTTCGTCTCACAACTTCAATAATTAATTTATAGCTTGCTTGACAGTCAATGTACAGTCTCTAGCACATTCGACTGCTTTTTTATTCCAAAATAACACATATCACAACCATATAAGATGCCGGTCTATCTCGATGCCCCTTAGTCATTGCTGAAAATTGCTGATTTTATGGGCGGCTCATACGTTTATTTCGATTGTACTGGAACACTAAAAAACTGCCTTTGTATCTAGTATGTTACCGCCCACGGCAATTCTTGTGCCAAAATAATATCACCGTGTAGTCTAAACAAATGTTCTAAAACGAAACATCTCTGAAATTAGCAGTGTACCTACAGGCGCGGATCCAGCCCTCAAAAAAGGTTGTGGGCACAGCCACCAAAAATTAGCAAAGAGAGAGTTGGATCACTACATGCCCGGACATACATACATGCCTATCGATCTTATCAATAGATCATAATTAAAACAAGCAAATTAGGGTTGTGGGCATGCCCACAGTGCCCACAACGGTGGATCCGCGCCTGTGTACCTAAGATTCAATTTTATCGTAGTATTTTCTTAAATGAGCTTATTGACTCGTACTTATTCACGAATGTCGGAATATCTTGTCGTAACACCATTTGCTGTCCAATGTCCCTTAAACTCAGTAGCTTGAGCAAATTCCGTATTGATTTTTAAATGCATCAGTCCAGCTTCAATATTCAGTCGAATATGCTAGAGTCATTTGAAATTATGTGAAGTCTTAGTGACAGTAATCAATAATAGCGTTGCTGCTCTATAAATGGTTGTGTGGCATAACAACCACGTTCAAACGAATCCGACACGCAATGGTTCGGTGTGGGATTGCAGGTTCATTATCCATCCTCACAATGGATGCTTAGTTCGAATCGCCGAGCCGCACGTGCCTACAGGTAGGTATTTCCAGAAACAATTAATATTCCACTTACGAACATCTGCTCCTGTGCCTTAATGCGATATTATCCATATCTCAGCCAATTAAGGCAATGGATGTTCATTTTCTGCTGATCGCAGTCCTAATGGATTTGTTTTGTAAATTACCTATTATGCCAGTGTAAATTTCGCATTGGCCGAATTAATACCGCTGATGGGTGTGTTACCGATTAATGGTATGTTCGTTCTCGCAACCGTCTGTCGTAACCTTGGAACTGAGAAAGCGCTTGTTACGTAGTTACAGTATGTAATCTTGCGTATGTGTGCTAGTTGAGTGATCTTAGCTCGAGGAATGGCCAAGGTCTGCTCATTCATTACAACATCTGTTAAGGTAGTGCCAAAATGAGGTAGCTAATTTATGTTGTCAACGTTTACTTTAAAACTTTCGTCTATTTTATCACGATATTCAGGTGGTACGAGATAACTAGGTATTTTCATTTTAAAAAACAAGATAAAAATATGTTTCAAGTCTAGCCAACGCATGTGTACGTGAGTGTTCCTGTTAGTTTCCAATTGATTGTAAACGTTTATTTCTATTTGGTGCTACTGCATAGTTATTTCGGTTCCATCGCGTTGTGAAATCCATTTCAATTTTATTCATGCTGTTGACCTAAGTTTTATCAATTCAACTGATCTATTACATTTACACCTCCGTCCGTTTGCCTGGCTCGGTGCATTGTTCTGAATAGTTTTTAGTTAAATGATTCGATGTTGCTAGGTTTCCATTACTCTCAGATGTTTGTACCAGATGGCCGATTCTCACTCCATTACGTTTTGCGACGTCATCAACGGCACAACAGATGCTAATTTCCACATTCAACGTGGCAATAAAATACAAGGTCCAGTCGAACCAGTTTCATCCAGTTCGTGATTGTCAGATAATGGTGGTTCGAAATTAATTTCTCAATTGTTTTCTAATGTTTGAGATCCATAATGTCCCAGTGCCAGTTCGGTGTTATTTTATCTAAATTTTAGTACATATTACAATATTTTATCAAACTTCACAATGAACGAGATGTTTTATTTGTTCCATGGAACTTATTCAATCTCGTTGCCAGTTTGAAGATATCGCACCTTCGGTAGAACAAGGGCACAATTGTCAAAAATTGCAAAAATGAGTTAAGTATGCAGAAATACTTTAAAAATGTGTAGCTAATAATTAATAGCTCTCCTGTAAAATTGCAAAAAGTGCAATTGTGCCCTTGTTCTACCGAAGGTGCGATATGCCAAAAAAGGTTTTACGATCACTATTCACCATTCCAAAATTTGGCATTGTCTGAGTTGGACTTTGTTTAATGTAAAGACATTTTTCAAGCACATAAATGTCTTAATATTACAACACCCCAGAACATTAAATTGGACATTTACATAGGTGCGAATTGGGATGGGCGGCTTTGTTCGGGTGTCATGACGTCTTTAATCCCTTCCTTAGGGCTCAAAGCTATAAACAATGGATGTTATGTATTAGTAATGTCGTAACATGCTACCAAAACAGGGTATTTACTTCATAATAAAGTTCAAGATCTATGGAATCAAAATAAGATACGTAGACAACATAACCGATCGACGAGATTAGTAAGTTGAAATGTCAGTAAGCACATAAAAGAACTGATTGCCTAGTAGAGTGCATACTAACAGTGGAAGAGATGATTCGATGAAATCCGCAGCATATTACAGTTGTACGATATACATTACTGTTACTGATGGACGACCCATAAAAATGGCAGAACTTTGTTACATATTTCCACAACTCGTTTTGGAAGTCTTATGTTCAGCAATGTTTTTCATGACTAATAAATAAATTATGAGGATGTTGCGCTCATTAAAATCGAGTGGTGTTATACTTGTACTCATCCTCATTATTATTATTAGCGGTAAAGCTGAGTGCCTTTATAAGAGATCGTGCATTAAGGTCAAATACGTGTGCAAGGCCTATAGGAAACGGAGGAGGTATATTCTGTTCTGTTCCTTTCATTCTCGTTGTATATTTAGTTTTTTAATCATTCCGCTACTTTGCCAGTTCTTACAAAAAATAGGAAAAGTCCGAAGTGTCTTATTAGACATATTCTTACATTGTTGATTGAGATTTCCATCACAAACACAATGTAATAATTTTAAACGAGAATGGCTGAATAACAACTAAATGAAATGTTTATGTTAACGTAATCATTAAGATCAAAGTTGTCAAATACCTTCACATAA